CTTTCAATGCAGTTACTCTTTTCAATGTTTGCGATAATTTTATGGTACCATATGGCTGTCGGTATTATTGGTAACCGCGTCGGTATGTGTCATCGGTAACCGTGCCGGTACATATGGATTAAATCTCGGGTCGCTGGCGCGTACTAGTAGGAGGCAGCTGGAGGAGAACTACTTCTCCTCACGGCGCACGATATGGTGCTCCGCACTGTACTCTACTTCCAATGGAAACGGAACACTAAATTTAATCCGTACCTGAGTGAAACCGAAGGGCGACGTCCCATTGAGCGGAAATCTATAGCGGAACGGAATGTGCGGAACCAGCTCGACCAATCATAGCCATTCCGTTTTCTTTCCTTCGCTTTTTCTGTGGTTACGATTGGTCGAGCTGGTTCCGCACATTCCGTTCTGCTATAGATTTCCGCTCAATGGGACATCGCCCTTACGGTTGCGACTAAACTTTTTTCACGTGTAATGGCCTTAATTGTGTTTATCAGAAAGTGAGATGTAAATCAGTACCGTAGTTGGAATTTGGAATCAGTAGAAAATATTGTGCAAATGACTTTGTAAAACTTTTGCACGGTTCGGCATGTAATGCAGTTTTAATAGGAAACAATAAAAAGAGTGGCGGACATATTTATTCAGAATGACAGATCAGGATGTGAATAACAATAACAGCTTGCCGTTGCGAGAAAATCTGGTAAGTAGTCGTCGCGTGCGATTAGTCGTCGCAAAATTTTTCTGTGCAATTGCAATTACGCAAAACGTAACATTCATTTAGTGTTAGTCTGTTAATTTTAAATGTAAAAATTATGCGTGGTCACAGCAAACGAGGTCGCGTTACTTTGATACAATGTTTCTACGTTAAAGGTGAAAACTGCGGTGCAATTTTTGCAAAATCCCAAGGTAGTGTCAAGTCCGTCTACGCAAAAACAACAATTTCTCAGGAGAAAAGGTCTCACGGATGAGGAGATCAAGACGGCTTTCAAACTAGCAGCGGTGGACAACACGACCGAGAGAGATCTAGTCTTTCACAATCAGAATCCGTATACTTCCGTACAGATACCGCAAGGACCCACCTATCCGTATAATTATCAAACAGCTGTTTATCAACCTACAATTTTACAAAAAGTCAAAGAATTCTTTAATGTAACCGCATTGATTGGCGCTACAGCCTACTGTGTCTATTTGTTTTACAAGGTATGTTATACAGAATTGTCACAAAGAAATTTAAGCATGTGAGATTGTTTTGAGTCTNAATTGTCACAAAGAAATTTAAGCATGTGAGATTGTTTTGATTTTTTTTTTTTTTTTTTTTTTTTTTTTTTTTTTTTTTTTTCTATTAAACTTTCGGTCTTCTATTTTATTCTGATTATATATAAATTCTAGCACATGTAAAAGGATTATATAAGGGATGTTATTGCTAAGGATTGTTTGTCACAATGTAATTTTTTGATTTTGCAGAAATTTATAGAACCCTTCCTGTTCGGTCGGAAGATTACGGTAGAAGATAGAGTAACGGAATTAGACAAAACTATTCAGAATTCTATGAAAGAGATGAAAGATTCTATCGCAAAGGTGGAAAGCGACGTGCAAAAATTGACCGAGCATCAAGCACTGGATCCGACCATTCCGCAATTAGTGCAAGAGCTAAAACATGATTTATCTAGTCTGAAAGCGCTACTTTTATCAAGGTATATAACACACATATTTATATACATATATATGTATATATATAGGTCAGTAATAGCAATTTATTGCCGTACAATGATTATTTCATTTGAAACATGGATTTGTGTGCCCTTCTGTTTTCGTATTTGTTTATATTGAATGATTTATCTTACAAGAGATCAATTGTCGTCACAACCTCTCGCCTCACACACTCGCAACATACAATTTTATTCAAACTTACCTAAAAAATTATTGATACTTGCGCTTGGATGTTGTGATAGTTATTTAAACAAGAGTTATATAGTTTTACAAAATACAACCTCAAAATATAAATTTGTGCTTTTTCCTTATTCCCTATATATTTTGACCATTTGCGCTTTTGAATCGATTTTTGTTTTTTTGTTTTTTTTAATTGTAAACAGCTTTCTCATTGAATTACACATGTATTTTTGTTCTAACGTACTTCTGATCCCTAAACTTTTTACAAGCTGACTGTTTCAATTACACAATTTTGTGTTGTGTTATTTACTGTGCTAATTTTTAATTACATATGTTTGTGAAATAGGAAGCAATTTCCTAGCGCGCCGGCATCTATTCCACCATGGCAATTAGATGCGACAAATGTAAGTCAAGAAAAAACCACCGAACGAGAAGATGACGCTGGAAGTGGAAGTAGTACCAACAATTCGGATAGTTCTTTAGAAATGATTCGAGAAGACACACCCAAAGAATAAATTTAAAAAAAAACCTCATCTACGGTGTCGCGTAGAACAGAATCTTCGATATACAAGAGATATGCATTATATTTTGTAAAAAGATTCTAGTTACAAAAAACAATTTATACTGAATAAAACTTAATTTAATTGCATGTGTTAATAATATCGACCTGTATAATTCTTGGTGGAATTGATCATGTAAAAATGTTGTAATATTTATCATAACGTGTTTTTATTATAAAGAACAGCTTTGTAAGTTTTACAAATTGGTTTGAGAAAAAAGAAACAAGTTAATGTTAGTTATATAATTTGTAATGATACAGCGAATAAATAATAATTGGAACGAATGGTATATACACGTGTGTATATATATATATATATATATATATATATATATATATGTATATTTCTTTCTCGTAGTTTTAATAAAAGCTTTCTCACGTATACGATTAAAACAAAAAAATTTCATTTCCGTACTTCAAATCGAGAAGCGACTTTTTTCAAAAGTTTGATTTTACGTTTTAGTTAATGTACATGACCTCTTTCTTTTCTCTATAATAGTACATGAGAAAAATTTGTTTCCAAACGCATGAGAGGATTGAAACGTTTTTATGTGCAAAGAGAGAGAGAGAGAGAGAAAGAGAGATGATTCGTAAGTATAAAGACGTAGACGTTTTTTTTAATTCTAGAAATTAAAAAAACAAAATCGGAATTCCTTACAGCTGCTCCGCCTAAATATCGGTATTTATATAAATCTAGGAATTGTGTAAATTGAAGACTGTCACAAAGTGCAGCTTTAGAAAATCTCACATCGTATATAATCTGCGATCGAAAAATTTGATGATTTGCGTTTCTCGTATCACAAAGAAATCTGCGAAATTTTTCGTGTCCTTCCACATATTAGAGTATTGTTTTGTATATATATATATATATATATATATATGTATATATATCTATTTTCAACGGCACAGACATCGGTGCATACGGGTATATTATTTTTGTCGAACAATCAGATTATTTAACATAGATCTCAATCGCATATCTTAAAAATTATACATGTTTCTATTTAGAATATTACATATATTGCCCATAGACTCTCGCGTGTGAGAAAATGATTGAGCGTTATGTACAACTCAGAAAGATCCCTCTTCTCATACATACCACAACAATATACACAATACAGGAACAACATACTCTCACTTAAAAAAAAAAAGAAATCTTTATTTAACGATAACAAACTTATCGATGTGTGATATCGTTGGATCCAAGCTGTTGTTTTGCTTCTCGGCGAGGATTGCTGTAGGAATTAATTATAAATTGATTTTACATCTATATATAAATGCATACGTATTTATGCATGTAAGTACATATATACATTTAGATATCAGATGAAATCGGCTTTAGTGTTTTTTTTTTTTTAATTCATTTAGATTGGCCATTCATACAAGAATAATCAATCGCACCGCGTCAAATCACACACATTCCAAGTAATATGTACAAAGTGTATAATATTCGATACTACCGTTTACATTATTAAACAAGCAAACAAAGTACACAGGCATGTGTTCATGTGTGTGTCTGTGTGTGTGTGTGTGTTTGTAAAGTTGTTTTATATTTTGCTATTATCTCACACAAGAAGAGCTCGTGAGATGCGACTCGTCGATGTTTCTCATCTTCTCGCGTGTAAGTATCTACACAAATCGAAACATACTTGATCACAAAAAAGTTTTTACACAACATATTCTTGTTCTTGATCGAATACATAAAAGTCTGATGCTTTCGCGGCGCATTGTGAGAATTCCCAGAAATGATCTTTGGATTGAAACCGTTTAAAAAGAAAAAAATCAAATAAAAAAAAAATTTGACATTGAGAGTTTCCTGGATTTTCTTATCGAAAAACGTTTCGGTACCAAAATTTCCGATGAGAGAAGTCACTGTAGCTTATATATTCACCCACACACAGTAGTAACATACTACGATCACGTTGCACTTAACAAAGTTTTCAATAGATTTTGTATAATACAGGTTTTAAATTAAACACAATTTAACACAAATACGCGATACATAAAAAGAAATTTTAGAGATAAAATCACAAATTATTACATATACATATAATTCTTATATTTATACATGTATAATTTGTGATTTTATATTACTCTCGTACAAAAACCAAAATCTTATACTACAAGCTCTGCAGCTTTAAATAAATAGCTGTAATAAATAAATCAAAACGATTGTGATAAAAACTTTCATTAGAGATTTATTTGTACTCACTCTCCCACGTAAAAAAGCACAATCTTGTTTAATAGATTTCATCAAGCCGGGTCAACCGACTTCTAATGGGATGATGATGATCCACAATACGATCGGTCAAGCGTCAATCGCGATTGTTGTCAAGTCGGCTAAACCGATTATCAACGGATTGAAATTAAACGGACTTGGTCATTGCTTGACCTTTGCAACTGGTTATCTACTTCGTGTAAAAAAAAAAGACGAAAAATATCGGTAAGAAGCATACAAGCTCTTCTTTTCAAAGTGAATTATCAACGCAATTTGACATATTACACAGATTGTAGTTCCCACAAATATAATATTCCACATCGCGGGTTTTTTTTTTTTTTCTTCTTCTTCTTCTTTTCTTTTTTCGACAGAACAGTTGCCACCATAGATGCCAGATTCTGAACACTTGGTAGCATGCGGGCATGGAGGGGATGCGCACACAACCTCAGATCCTACACGATCTGAGGTTGTGCGCATCCCCTCCATGCTACCGCTGCTACCGCATGCTACCAAGTGTTCAGAATCTGGCATCTCTGGTTGCCACTCTTATCTCTCTTTCCTGATTTCATATAGTAATACTTCTTTTTTTTTCTAGCAGATATAACCAGGATACAGCTGCCTCACTGATACAGTGAGTTACAGCAAAACCCGTTTGACTTAGTACATATTTCTCTATATATTTACACATCCTAGGTTAATAATATACAATAATAACGAAAGTGTTCTCACATTTCGATCATCTTGCCATGGTGTTTTACCAAAATATGTATATAAATAAAAAAAACAAAAAAACAAAAAAACAAAAAAAAAAAACTCTTCAAGAGATGTAATCCTTACTTAAAATGAAATATCCTGCCTGGTTCAGCACAGTTCTATCTTATATATTTCTAGGGCTCGGAAAAGGAACCAAACAACAACATATGTATATATACGGATACAACCGCCCGTTCGTCTGTAAATTAAAATCTATTGCACGCGAGGAGTACTGGCGCCGTACGCGGACACCGTACGAGGATCATTGACCTGCTCGTATAATTTTTGTTGAACGAAATACCCGTTCTACTTGTGCAATACGAGCGAGCGGACGTGTCCAGGTACCTGAGTATTCCGAGCTCTACTCTTATTTTCCATTAAATCTTGTGGTCTCTTTGGCAAAAACTTATGTAATAAAAAAACAAAATAAAAGAATTCTGAATTTAATTATTTCACACATGGACTGTACACCTAGGACGCATCAAGTAAGTCTTCACTGCGCTCGCACATCAAATTTTATCGATTAATCGTAATTAACCTGTTTGGCTACAGCTGTCTCTGCCGCAAAACACACTACGTACGACTGTGGTCTTCAGAATTATCTTGTTGTTGCTTTTTTAAAAAAGTTTTTTAATTTGCACAATAATGTTTAACAACAAACGTTGGATGATACAACCCTAGAACATAGACATTCATCACAATTATGACTGAGTTTCAGAGCGTCAATCTATATTTGTTTTATATTTGATGAGCAAGAGATTGACGCGTAAGCTTTCAAAAATCCGAACTCAGCTTAAATCGATTGAAGTCGTACTCAATAGTCGGTTTGGCGGCAGGTAGCCAAAGAAAGATACTTTCTAACTTCCGTAACAAATTGTATGGGGGTTTAACTGTTTCACGAAGAACGTAAGAAGAAATAATCGAGAGATCATTTACTGTAAAATACAGCACTGCGAATACGCGCGCACCAAAAACTGTTTCAATACGCAACCTAGTGTGCGACATAAAAATTATCCTAGGATGTTTTGTGCTGACATAATTATTGGCTGAATACCACACTTCTTTCATTATGTTAACTCGTCGCTGTTCACTCGAGTATCGAAAAAACAAGGACTGAGGAAGGAGAATCTCTCCCTCCTTTCATGGGTAGCGACCTAATGTTGACCTATTATTGATAACAATAATAATCCTTAGGCTAGACACATTAACCGAAACTGCTAACAGTTTCGTCTCTAGATATCTACTGAATCGCTTAATCCCGGCTGTGCTACCAAGTATGATGTAAGTGTAAATTTCTCGAAAGAACAGATCGTACGTCTTGCGTGAAACGAAGAGCATCCAAGACCGGGAGTAAACTTAATAAAGCGGTGTCTCCCGCATCACTGAACCATGACTTTATTGGTATTGCGTTATCTATGACACACAGAGAAAAGAGAAGCAATAATATAGCACATTGTCAACAGTCACTTTATACGTATCGTTTCTGGTGCCATTGTTTTTTTTTTTTTTTTTTTTTTTAAAGCAAAGCAAATCACAAAGATTACACTCACGTGGATAAGCTCTGTATGCTCCTGGACTGTTATCGAGAATAAAGACCGAAGAGAGATCTGCACAAATTGCCGACAAGTCCTTAGTATAAGAACCCATTTCTGGTGTACAATGTTGTCTATAATATCTGCGTCTTAAGATACCCCTGTTGTTATCTAATTTGTCTGCAACTGCTGCCCCATAAATTTCCATGGATGCAGTAAAGACTACAAGTTCATACCTATAAATGTAACACTGCTATAGACAATAACAGGAAAAAATTAATACAATCTTATCTCAAAATTTGAACAGTACAAAGGCCAAGTAGCCCAAGTTTAGTCTTGTAAGATTATATTGTGGCTTATAGCTTGTGCAATGTGTTTTTTTTCGCAACAGACTCTTGAATTGGTTTTTCTGCTTTTGTTATAACGATACTCACCACTGGCTGACAATATCCAAAAAGAAATCTACGTGTGGTCTCTTGTGGACAAAAAATCTAACAGGATGTCTGTCAATTGTCACTTTAAGAACAAAATCTGGAGGTGTACCGGGCCTGACAGTTGGCCTCGCCACTCCATCGTGATGAGAATGAATTAAGGTTTCGTCTAAATCCAATACTAATACTTTTCTTTTAACTATACCTGAAACACATTTTCGCATTATACACAAATACTAGAGAACACCGGCTGTTGCGATGTAACAGGTGTGAGATTCATTATATTGCAGATACTCACTAAGTCTGTGTCTAGATAAAGGTGAAAGTGGGAAGATTTCATATTTGACTGGTTGCATTTGTGAGATCTAGAAAAACACAAATGCGATATAAAATATCAAGTTTCAGTGAGTATGAATATGATGACAGCAGAATTGTGTTTGTCATATAATTAAAACAGTTCAGTATATTCTTGATCTTGATGATGGTTATATTTTAATGTGAAGTTTTGTATATTAAGAGAATATTGTCTTCTATTTTATACAGTCTACATGTTATTGTATCTTCTACAATTAGAAAATAGTAAGGTAATATTGAAAAAGAAATATATAGAACTATTCTACTTACCTCTTGTTGTATATATATATATATATATATACACAACATATACATGTGTGTATGTATGGGTATAAACAAAAAAAATATTATAAATAAAATAGAAAAAATATTATAGATACAACAAATTAAAAACTCAAGTATCTACTTGCACCTGTGACTTGAATATTTTGAATGCAAGTACGAATTATGCAAAACAACAAAATTTTTTAAATATGATTTAGTGTAGAACAATATATATATATATATATATATTCATACATATATCATACATATTACATATGAAATAAAGCATAAGAATAACTTCTACTAGGAGTGCATCTCTCTTTCTCACTCAGCCAATGTGAATGTATCGGCGTGTGTGTGTGTGTGTGAAAAGAAAAAAAACAAAACAAAAATCAAGAGAGAGAAAAACCAAATCAACATTACTCGCGCGGAGGAAAAGTCGTGTGTGTCGAACATGACTCGTGCCTGATTCTGGCAGGAGGCGCGAATGGAGGCGCGAAGCACCTACTTACGGCTCTAACCTGCTTCTTGAGTAGAAAACAGATGCAGGTCCACACGCGGGAGGCCATTAAGAGGAAAGCTCTCATCCCCATCTGCAATTGCTTCAGCATCTCTACTAGTTCTTCTCACCGGGCCGAAGTCCGGCAACACTTTATCTCCAGTCTCTCTCTCTCTCTGTCCCGCGCGAGTTGTCTCCGCGCTTTCGGTTGAGTGTGTCCCTTTCTTTTTTTTTCCCCCCCGTTCTCCGTATATTATGTATGTTCACCACTGCACTTCACTTCGCGTCGCGTACGGCGAACCGCGAATACGCGCGGTTACCTGTTCGCTGTAACCTGGCCCGGGAAACCCGTGTGCTCGCGCGAGTACGACCGTACCGAGCCGTAAGAGAGAGAAAGGGAAAAAGAGGGCTTCTTTACCGCCGCTTATCATAAACAAATGATAACACCCCCGCAAAATCGAGAGGGGAAAAATACGAGATACGAAATCCGCAACGGATTATATTCTCGTCTCCGGCGTTCGTTGGAACACAAGGTCGCGTTCCGACGCACGTGTGACCGACGCGATCCTAACGCGGCACCTTCATGTTTTCCGAGAAAATCCGAAATACGAAAATCCTCTCTTATTAAAACTGCCTTTTACATGAATCGCACAACGGCCGCCATCTTTCGCGCATCGACCCAATTTTTTCCGTGCGCCGCACTATTCTCGTGCTGCCTCGCGCATTTTCGAATCCGCTTCGGGACTTTCTCACGGGAGCACTCGGGAGTTCGGTGTCAATCCGGCGAGCAGCACATACATGCACGGATAGGAGGATCCGGCGCGAGCGCTTGATCTTGTCCCGATATCGCCCGCGAAATCGACGAACGTCGCTTCGCGCCGTGCGAGTGTTGCGATTGATATGTTTATGTAACGCTTTTTCTTAAATATACATGTCGAAAATTATTTTTACGTGCGTCTTTCGCGAATTCTGCGAAAAGATCTCGAGAAGTATATATATATATATATAAAAAAAAAAAAAAAAGACAGTATAGATGCTAGATTGATTATTTAAATTCGTACGTAAACGGAGTGTCGTTCACGTTGTGCGGTCGAGAACGGTATCTTAAAAAACATGTATTTTTTTATCACAATTTGAAATATCGAGTGTTTTTGTAGAAGAAGAGATAAAACACACACTATTTGCTAAAATTAGAAATGTGTATATATGCACATTTTCCCAAAGTTGTGTGTGTGTGTGTGTGCGTGTGTGTGTGTGTGTGTGTGTGTGTGTGTGTGTTTGTGGAACACGAGGTCCGATTATTCTCGAGTTCGATTCGCGAGTTTCCGAAAAGTTACACGCAGAAAATCGAAAATAATCGAGAAAAAACCAATGCACACGTCAATTAATCGAACTCGTAAATCGATTTGCGCTCGAATCGAACATCCGGGAATATAGATAAAATAAAAACAATAGATAAAATTCTAGGACTTTTGTTGCTGCATATTGGCAACCATTGTGAACCTGGCCTAAGCCTCTCGGCGACGATAGCGCCACCTGGATTGTTGTGGGGGAACTAAACCTTTGCGTTTTCTCCACGCTCCTTTACATAGTTTTGTTACAGATACGAAACGGCATCTCGTTTGATGCGTGGCACTTCTCTAACGACGAAGAATCTCAATCGACCGAGTCGGAATTTGTTGTCCGCAATTGACCTGTTCTTCTGAACCGGGCAAAAGGTACAAGCTAATCGCAGACGGAGCAATCGCAAAAATTGACGTCTCAAGTCTCGACTGTTGAGTCCGCTGAATGGCAGCCATTGCCATTCGGAACACGCCATTTCGCCAGAAGAAGTTTTTGTAGTCTCTTGTGCAAGAGCAATTAACGTTCGCAAATTGTGACGCCGCGCACTGTTTTTCTCGGCGTGCGAAGAAGCGATTCACGGAGAATATGGGCGAGGATTTCAACGGCGGTGAGTAAATTCACATTTTCGTGCACTTGCGTGCGGCAAGTTCCCGCGTTATGCCAACTGCCTAAAGATTGTGGCCAGTTCGTTAGAGTAATGGCTGCATACGCGTTACACGATTAAAGCCTAGTAAACAATTTACAGATGTTTCGAAATGCGTATCGGAAATTTCTTCTCGCGCATTTAATTTTTGAACGTCTGAGATTTTACTTACTTGAGCTCTCTTTTGTGTGTATTCTGGTGTTGCAACAAGTTAGCCTAAATTTTGACAGTTAAATTTTCAAACAAATGTATGAAAACGAAGGTTGGCGTCTGTCAATTTTTATTGAATACTTTTGTTTTTTTAGAACCACATTGGACTTTAGTCAGAACAATGTGTGATGTAAATGTGTAATTTATTTACAAGCAACATTACTTGATGTTATGTAATTAAATGATAATTCTATTTTTTTTTTTTTTTTTTATCTAGATCGAGATAGACAGGAACGTGATAAGGACAGAGAACGAGACAGGGATCGTGACAGGAGGCATCGCTCACGCAGCAGAGATCGTAGGAAGCGGTCTAGATCTCGATCTAAAGAACGAAGAGATAGAAAAAGAAGTAGCTCACCGAAGAAGAGTCGCAGTTCAAGAAGAAGAAAACCGTCTCTTTATTGGGATGTGCCGCCACCAGGTTTTGAACACATCACCCCTTTACAGGTAAAATTCTTCTTGTATCCATATCTGGATTGTGTTTTCTTAAGGTGTCTAATTGCGCACAATTATCTTGTTCTGTACAGTACAAGGCCATGCAAGCTGCTGGCCAGATACCTGCTAATATTGTAGCTGATACTCCGCAAGCAGCTGTGCCTGTGGTCGGCAGTACCATTACTCGACAGGCCAGAAGACTCTATGTAGGCAACATTCCATTTGGAGTCACTGAGGAAGAGATGATGGAGTTCTTCAATCAACAAATGCACCTATCTGGACTTGCCCAAGCTGCTGGAAATCCTGTGCTGGCGTGTCAAATTAATTTAGACAAAAATTTTGCATTCTTAGAGGTATAACTTATCATAATACAAGTACAGAATAAACTATTTTATATCCAAGGGGATATGTGATATAAATATCATTAATTTCAACTCTAGATATTAATTAGCAATTTGAAGAATTAAGATTTTTTTATGTATTTTTTTTTTTTTATAAATACAGTTCCGATCGATAGACGAGACTACCCAAGCCATGGCGTTTGATGGCATCAACTTCAAAGGACAGAGTCTGAAAATAAGAAGACCGCACGACTACCAACCAATGCCAGGAATGACGGATAATCCAAGCATGAACGTGCCAGGTACGGTTCCTGGTATGTTCTGAACATACATTTCCTTACACTTGGCAATACAATTTTTGTTCATATCTCACGCTTGACATAAATGTCTATGTCTTAACTCTTTACGTATATGTTTTTCAGATTCGCCGCACAAGATATTCATTGGTGGATTGCCAAATTATTTGAACGAGGAACAGGTATGCCAGCAAATTCGTGGAGTAATTTTACTTACTTGCACATCTTTGGATGCAATTCTTCTTCATTGACGCTTATTCCAAACGGTTAATTTATCTTTTTATTCGGTCACATCGGAGACATGTAGTTTTTTTTCTAATTTATTTTTTTTTTTTTTTTTTTTTTTTTTTTTTTTTTTTTTTCCCCCAAAGGAGAATAGGCTTCAATGATAGACGAAAATTTGCATCGAGCAATGGCGCAGGGTTAGCACAAGGACACGCGCATGCTAATCCTGTCGCATTGTAAGTTATCCTCAAAAGGACTAAATTATAATATAGGTATTTAGCTATTTAGCGGTGAGTGCACTCACATACACACACAAGACCGGAAGAACTCGTCTTATCCATATTCAAATAGAGGTATGTATGCGTTTCCATCAAGAATTTCGGCGTCGGTTAGGTTTCTTGTTAGGTAGAGGTGTGTGGTTGGGGTTTGTGGCTCCGGGTTTTTTTTTATTTTTTTTTTTTTAGCATCCCTTCGGACGATTTGCTTCCTATTTTATTCTACGGAGTCTTTTATTGCTTCTCGCACGTCATCGTTGTTTCGATGCTGTTTAGTTTAGGGAAAACATTAGTGGCGTTACAGCATTTAGGCGGTGTGCAGGCGGTGTCATTGGCGATCATTTTCCTTTCTCTTGCAGCCTTTCTAGGCACGTCGCGGACCCAGTCCATCACGAGGATACGAGTCCTTCAAATCTAGACGTTTTTTTTTTAGCAGAACCAACAGGGAGGGGGGTAGGAAGAATATTCGATAAGAATAGGGATACGCGAGTGATCCACACCGTGTTTGGTGGAAGAGAATTTTTTGAAAACTACGTTCTTGGGCATTTCCAATTTAAAGCACTTTGCAGAGTCGTCCGCTTTCATCCAGCAATGACACATACGTCGCGAAGGATTTTTTTTTTAGGTCTACAAGAAAGGCATAAAAAAGTCAACATTGTTACATGTATAGCAGAATCCTTTCCTTTTTTTTTCTTTTTGGGATTACAGGGTCAACACATAATTTTATGTGCATCTGGTAACAGCTCCAAGTTCTTCGGTATATATTCTTTTCAGGAATACTTTTCCCTTTTGCAGCTGTTCTTTTTACAGGCTTTTCAGGCTTTACAGCACACGTCTCGTCTTGTGCCTCGTTACGTTTACAGGTTACCGCGAGAACGAATCATCTTCGAATATATATATATTAGTACGTTGAGAACTTTCTAAAAAAAAAAAAAAAAAAAAAAAAAAAAAAAAAAAAAAAAGAGGATAAAGGAAAAGAAGCGTTATAATTTTTTGTTGGATAAAGAAGTCAAATACAATATTCTTACATGTGGACTATGTTCGTAAGAGAATTACAAAACAAAAAAAAAGAAAGAAAGATAATGAACGTCTCGTCATTATGTAGTAAACTGTGGACTGATACCAGTACCCTTTCTCCCCATTTCTTAGCTTAGGGTCGTGCCGATCAAAAGCATTTGCTTACCACTACCACTACTTCTACCACTACTTCTACCACTACTACTACTACCGAACATGACAAAATACCACACTGCCTGGGGAGAGGCTAGCCCAGTCCCTCGAGGCAAGTACTTATATACCATTCTCATGCCTTCCGTACATTGGGTTTATGCGACGATTTTTATAGCTCCCCCTTCCGTTGATGTGTCTTCGGTTCTTCTGTGTTAATGGTGCGTTTTCTTTGAGATTCGATGTAGTTTTACATCAATAAAATACAAAAAGCATGTTGCTCAATCTACTAAAAAAACTGTCGAGTACAATAAAACCACAGCTTTTGCGATGTAGCAATCAATTTTATAACAAACTAATTTCTTTAGTGAGGGCAACATGTTGTTTATCAAAAAAACAAAAAAAAAACTTTCGAGTTTTCAGTTTCCTTAGTCCTCGCGGATATGTATGTAAGTAGATACGAATAAGATTTATATTACGTTAAAAAGTGTATATTAACTTGTTCGGGGAACAAAGATTGGTGCTCGAAATAATGATGATCAGGAAATGATACCGGAGTACAATCGAACGGAAGTTGTTCCGTCAAAGATGAAGGCGACGCGTGAGCAGTTGCCAGCGAGGAAAGAGTGGTTCAAACATTCATTTGCATTTATATTTCATTTTTCTCACATTTTAGACGATGCAACTTTCTTCGCAAACTATTATATTCGTTTCAAATTTGCTTGGAGATTCAATTAAATATCTTGCCATTAAAATTACGTAACACACAATCTGAGAGAAATAATCTTAAATTTTATTTCTTCATTCTGGTAATAGTAATTTAAACGTAGCTTGAATCTTGTTTAATAAATTTACGAATGTCTACTTATATTTAAAAAAAAAACTTTTAAATACTATTACCACTGTTTTTTTCTATCTGACAATATCCACATGCAATCGTTAAATTTTACTTAGAGTTGCATAGTCTATACCTCGTAGATTCAAAGATTTGTGTTACGTGAGCGAGGAAAGTTAACGTTCTTGTAAATGATACAGGTCAAAGAACTACTGATGAGCTTCGGGCAGTTAAGGGCATTCAATCTGGTAAAGGACTCCGCGACTGGCCTGTCCAAGGGATATGCGTTCTGTGAATACGTGGACGTCTCAATGACCGACCAGGCAATCGCCGGATTGAACGGGATGCAACTGGGTGACAAGAAATTAATTGTCCAACGCGCCAGCGTGGGCGCCAAGAATCCTATGATAGGCGCGCAAGCTCCGGTACAAATACAAGTGCCTGGTTTGTCGATGGTTGGCACGAGCGGACCTGCGACCGAGGTAACTTCAATAATTCCTAACCAAATTATCTTCAAAATTAAATTACAATCTCACGAAGCGGCGCGTGTAACCATAACATCGTCTTTTAGGTGCTTTGCTTGCTCAATATGGTCACGCCAGAAGAATTAATGGAAGAGGAAGAGTACGAGGACATATTGGAGGACATAAAAGAGGAATGTAATAAATATGGCGTTGTACGTTCCGTAGAAATTCCAAGACCTATTGAAGGCGTTGATGTACCTGGATGTGGCAAGGTAAAAATCAATATTAATCATAGAAAGCTGTTGCATTCTTGTTATATTTATTAAAAAAAAAAAAAAATGTGTTTTTTTACAGGTATTTGTCGAATTTAATAGTGTTATCGATTGCCAGAAAGCGCAGCAAACTCTTACGGGACGAAAGTTCAACAATCGTGTTGTAGTCACATCGTACTTCGATCCCGACAAATATCACCGCAGAGAATTTTAAACTGTAGATTTTTCTTTTTATATAACGTATATATGATATGTAAAGTATATAAATAACTAATTAATCTAAACGTATTTCGAGAATTACTATACCAATTAATAATCAACGATAAAATAACAGATTACTGCGTATGTAAGAGAGAATAAATGCGTATCTAAAATATCGATTTAATAATCGACAAGCCCGTACTGTTCATATTACGATTTTATAAAACGTGATATGAATATAAACTATAAATATACAAGGTGTCCGATAATATAACCGTATTGTTCCGAAATAAATAGAGTTATATTGAGAATTGTAACCTTTGTCACTTTGCGTTACTTAATAATTAACGAGTTTTTAATTAGTGAGGATCCGCGCGTTTCAAAACAGCGTTTCGGCAACTCAATGGAAGGAGTTAATATAAACAGCATATAATAATATAATATAATATAATATAATACACATCTAAATATCTTTAATTATTATTAAAAAGAATTTGTTGATTATTGCGAATCTCGCAGAGTAGCAAAGGTTTTTGACAGTATAAATCTCTCTACTTCACAAACAGTTGTTACCCGACACCCTGTATATATATATATATATGTAATAAACACATTTTCATGAAATGGACAATGATCGAACAATTTGATATTACCTGCTAGGATTAAGATATTAATTAGATATATTGTTCTATATATAATCAAGTAAAAATAAAATTGAAAATTGACACATAGCTGTTTCTGCAAAAACAAAATTAGATTTCTTTTTTACCAAAATTCTGTGTCTTACATTATTTGTTATTTAGATTGTTCAGAATGTGTGTGTAGGTAATTTACTTGTAAGTGAAAATTTTCATCATGGAAAAAAAGAGCGATTCAACTTTCAAGCTGCAAGGCAGGCTGGTAAGAGTGAGTCGTTTCTCCGGTGTCGGCGGCGTCGACTACGAATTTCTGCAACAACGCGTAAAGTAATCCGCCAATCAGTAACATGCCAACACCCGTCAAGACAGATACGGCCCAAGCAGGTATCGCTAGACCCCCTAAAAAAAACGAATTTAACAAATTTAATATTTAGATTCACTTTTCACTCATTTTTCCACGTCGCGTGTCAGATCATCCGCATTTTTATATTTAATATGTTATTGTTCCACTTACTGTAATAATGTCTGGTTATCGTCTTCCGACCTCTTAGAATTTTACGTCTTGCTTCGACCTCTTCCAAGAAGATCCCCAGCAAAACTGTTCAGCATCATTGAATCAGTGAGAGAGAGAAGAGTATTACAATTTATTTTTATACGAAACTTACTAAAATTTACGTTACATCACGTTGAGAAATAGGGAAACGTTCAAAATAATAACTTGAATTTCATCATTAAATAAAATTAATTGATATTTCTCGATGAAAAAATATCACGTTCACACAATTTATTTTTCATCAATCTAACCATTTTTTGTAACGCACCGATGTGAAAAATGGATTGCCGCTTTTATCATCAATTAGTTATCGAGTTATCGCGTCTCATCATTTCTTTTGTGTATATGTGAATTAATTTCTACTTACGCAAACCAAGAGTTAAGTAGCACACGAATTTTTTTGAGTACATTTTCGACAAAAACTATCAATATACATATATAAAAAAAACGAATATAATGGAACACAGATTTTTGTCGCAATCAACTCTACACGGTCTACGCAACGAGTACTGAATCACACCTTTGATAAGAGATAGAGATAAATGAGTGTACAAGCTTATCTATTCCTCAAGATAGTACGATATACTTTTGCTAATACACCTTTATCAGTTTTTATACACTTTATTACTTTCTATTCACGTTACCATCAAATAGGAACATATGAATTGTGACTTCGGTAATTTAGCATTTGTATATTTTTTTCTCCTTCAGTCAATTTGTATTGGGCGCGTGTACAAAATTTTCAATTTGTAATCTCTATAATTAATTAAGTAAAAAGAACAAATTTTGTAATATTGTTCAAAACTTTTGAAAATGACGTCATTTTTAAATTAGATGTGAACGCACGAGATGTACATTTTTTTTATATTTGAATAAACGACACATTATGGACAGTGTGAACGTAATTTTATGTATACTTTATTTTACTTTTTTGTTGATCTTTCATTGTCAATTATGGATTGTCTTGTAATGTTTTATTTATATTTTTTGTAAAACTACAATTTTTTCAATTTTAGTTTACTTCCGAACCGACCGTAAATGGTTCTTCACTTGCAACCCGCGTACTTGCTGTACATCTAAATTTAGATATCGATCATCTTTCGA